AAACAAAAAAAAATCACTGTGTAAATGATTTTTTTTTTTTTAAATTGCTAGTTCTGGGTCATTGAGTAAACAAATGTTTTTAGGTATTAAAAGAATATGCCAGAAACAGGCTTACTAAAATTAGTTTATACCCTGCAGTATTTAAAAAATCATTTTACAGAGCAAGTAAGAAAAAGGTTCTTTCTCATTTTTTACTAAAACCCAGCATATGAAAATTCTTCATCTAGCTTGGATCACAGAGTTTCAGAATATTTTATTATTCTGCACACATCCTACAAGAATAATTAAACTTGCAGCATCAAGCAATATTAAGGAGCTCTGTGTTTGTGAAGAATTCTGTTTGACTTCTTTTAAATAAGCCAAAGAAGAAAAAAGAAAACAGCTCTAGAAGTACCTCTGTTGCCCATTTATTTTTTGTAACTTAAACTTGAATAAACAAAATAAAACACGGAGGGAAAAAATCTTAAAAAACATATTTGGTTACCATTGTTTTTATAATACAAGTACTGACTGGAATTGTTGGCTAAACATACCTAGATACCCACATTTTGAAATTTCCAGTAGCAGAAAAGTCCCTCATAATTCATCTCCTGAGATTAATTGCTGACAGAGTTTTCCAAGTTAGACAATTTATTTAGTTTCCTAATACAGAATTTCAGATGGTTTCAAGCACCAATAGCTGAAAGGTCTTGGGGAAGACTTAGTTTACAGAAGTGCCAACTAGATGTTATTGTAAGGTACACATTCCCAGGATCCAGTAACATTAACAAACAGGCAAGAATAAACTATTCACACATTATGTTCTGGTATTAACACTCAGCTGCCAAAGATGATCACATGGGAATGAAATTCTTTTCTGAAAGATTCTTTGAAGCATAGAGGATTCTTTGAAGAAGAGCAGATGCCCAACTGTAGCACCTGATTCATTAATCATGGCAAAAAAAAAAAAAAAAAGATAAAGCATAAACCAAGATTTTTACACCAAAGAAACATGGCTGTACTTTTTTTTGCTCTTGAAAGTCACTATCAAAACAGGTAAATCATTTGGAGATCAAGGGGAATCTGCTAGTCCTTCCGTATAATGAGTTTTTTTCTGTGAGTGCTTGTCTTAAGTTTCATGCTCCAAGACAGTGGAATAGGTTAAAAGTCTAATGACAATGTGCTCTGGATAACACAGCTTCTTGGAGAAGCCTAGTTTTAAATTCTATGCTATGAAGGATTATACCCACTGGGATATAAGCTCCATGAGTTCACAGATTTTCTTAACTTTTTTCTCACTGATGTAGCCCTACGATACTTGGTACTTCCAGTACTTACTAAATATTCTGGAATGAATGAATGATAGCAATGCCCCAATGTATTTAGGCTCTCAAAACAAAATATATGCAGAACATAAATCAAGGTCTCATTGAGGCATCAGCTTGGTCTTAAAGCCATGGGCACTGAAATCTGCCTCGGGAGTCACAAATTTTTGCATAAACCAGAGCCTTGTCCAAACAGCAAGTGATGTGTCCCTGAGCATTTTACTCCATTCTCTGTGTAACTTGCCTAGTCCACGGGCAACAATATGAAGTGGGAAATGTGAAAGGACCACATAATCCACTTCAGGAAGGGCATCGAAGGTTCTTCCCCATTTCTGCCCATCACGTAAATAATATAACATCATTTGAACCAGGAACATCTCACTTCTCAGTTCACATGTTCATATATCCTATCCCATTATTCCCAGGCATTCTGGAAAAAGGAATAGAGCCTCAATTTGTTCTTTTCTCTTATTCCCTATTCCCCCACTGCTAGAGCTTTCCAAGAAATTCTATAGAATTTGACAAGGATCCAAGATATATTTGGCCTGGCCAAGAATTTGGGGCAGAGACCTTCATTTCTCAGAGACAGTCATCAGTTCGGATGTAATATCCATCAGGAGCCTTCCTCAATTCTTTCTAAGCTAGTTTAGTCCTCAGATCTCATTTTACCTTGAACCTCTCCCAGAGCACCACATTATATTGAAATCATCATCAGTGAATTGCTGCTTCTCCCACTAAACTGTAACCTTCCTAAGAGGCCGTGTCTAACTCCTCCCTCGCATTTGTCATGTCATGGTGACAGGCACCTAGAAACAGTAGGTGCCCAGGCAGTGCTTACTGAATTCCATACCCCTTGCAGCCATCATCTTGAAAGGCTGTGTGATGAAGATGGAATATTGTTATTAGAACTGTTCCTCTCCTACAGTAGAAGGTTCCATTTGGAAAATATAGCTTGATATTCTGTTTCATAGAGGATGTCATTTCTGTTTCAAGAAACTTGTCCACAGTCTCATGATGCACCACAGTTGGTCAGGATCTTGGTTCCAGGTTCCAGAAATCCAAATAGTATTTATTATAATGATGATATGTTTCATAGAGCCCAAGGTAGGAACAGAATGAGGCTAAACTTTGAGAATACACATAATGGGGATTCAAACCATCAGGAAACTTGAGTCTTGTCTCTGTTCTTCTCTGACCAGCTTCTTTTGCTTTTCTGGACCACGTGGAGGAAGACATGACTGCAATATCTTCAAAATGTACATTTTTATGCCCCCAAGAACCCAAAAAGGCTAACTTCTGCTCTCGTTCCTGGTCCTACTGGAAATGGCTCCAATTCGCTGAATTTCATGAAGCACTCACTTTAGACCACCCAAATGCAGCTGTTGGTGGGGTTCAAAGCTATGGCCAGGCTGTTGGACAATCTTATAGGTGTCCACCACACTTCCAAACTCATTGGTTTCTAATAAAGACATATAATCAAAATGGACTATTTCACATGTATCAATGGTCATCTCTCTATAAAATATAAAATTTTCAAAGCAATAATGATCTGCAAATTTATTTCTTTTAATTCATGGTACCCATGAATTTCCAAATAAATAAGAAGTTTGCTTTGCTTTAAAAATAAACTTATTTTATTATATAATAATGTTGATAGTTTACATAAACAATGCCATTTAGAACATGCAAAACAATTATAAAATACATTTTTAAAAGATATGGAAATCTTTGAAGTCCTTTCTTGATATGGGACCTAGCAAGTCTCAAGAGGCACCATTTACATTTTGGAATCAAAACAAAATTCCTAAGCCTGGACTGGTTTAAGAGATTCCATTGGTCAACCAATGTCAGTTCAGGGAAGTAGAAACCTTTATAACACTGTGTTTTTGGTTTAAAATGCTATTAACAAGCATTTGTTTCAAGCGCTTTGGCATCAAAGAATACTGAGAAAAAGCAAGGGCATAAATGAGCCCAGAAGACTTTTGAAAATGAAGCATATGCAACATGAATCAGTTGGATATAATCCTGTTTCCAGGATGGCTATTAAGTCGAAAGAAAAATAGATTTAGAAGATGATTAGTTATTTGGCTTAGCTCTTAATATATCTGAGCTATTTCTGTGAAGACAGCCTCATTCCTACTCCAAACACGACGTGTGATAGAAGGTGATATACAACTTCACCTTTTGTCTGAATTCACTTTGTGTATGAAGTCTACACTGCAAAGTAAAATATGCAAAGATTCTGGGGGAAAAAGCTGGTTGGCTAACATCACAACAGCCTAAGTACAGCAATTTGGGGACATCTTTTATCGGGTTTTGTAAATTACCCACCCAGCCAATGTAGAAAGTTTCAGTTTCTATGGAATGTTGGCTAAATGGAGATTTAGCTTTTCCAGTGTTTTTTTTTTTAGTTGTTTTCATATATGTATATAGAGAGACAGAGAACAAGAGCACAAGCTGAAGAAAGGGGAAGAGAGAGAGGAGAGAAAGAGAGGGAGAGAGAGAGGAGAGAAAGAGAGAGAGAGAGAGAGAGAGAGAGAATCTCAAGCAGACTCCATGCTCAGTGTGGAGCCTGACATGGGGCTCCATCCCACCACCCTAGGATCATGACCTGAGCTGAAATCAAGGTTCAGAAGCTCAACTGTCTGAGCCACGCAGGGGCCCTTAGCTTTTTCAGTTTTAAAAGAGTCTTTATTGAATATGCTACAGAGTTGAAGGAACATTTGGCAAGATGGTCCCAAGTAGTAGATTCTTATGGCCAAGATTTCATTGCAACGTCCGCCTGAGAGCAATCAGAAGGAACAACAATGAGGATATGGTCACAAGCAGTGTCTGCCTGGGCTCCACTGTGCTGTCACTGACCACTGCCCTGGGATAAACAGCCTCTTCCAGGGCTATCATTTACCTCTTAGTGAGTGCAAACACTTATCTGGGCATTTATTTTCCATCTCTATTCACTTCCCTGGCTGTGGGGCAAATCTGTTTGCTTTACTAATGTAGGAATTTATTCATGTCACTGAGAACTTACAAAGGAGCAAAGGAACATAATAAGTCAATGCAACAGAAAACACGATGGTAACAGTAATGCAAATCCCGAACTCTGCATTCTGAGTTTCTGTGGGAGAAAAAAGCCCCAGCACCTCAGGATCTTGCTGAAACACAGCTTAGTATAAAGTCCTGGGCTGTATTAGTGAGTTAAGCCGCACCCACTCAGATCAACAAAAATGACAGTTAGGAACACAAACTGAAATTGGGTAAATCTCGGCTCCGATTCTATCTCCACCAATTCCTAACGGTGTAAATCTGGGTTATATTATTTAACTTCTTTTGCCTGTTTCCACATGTGGGAAATGAGGATCCTAAGAGATATCTCATAGGTTCCTGAAAGGTTTAAAAGAAATGATATAATTTAAACTCTTGGCCCATGGTTAAGTGCTGGATAAATGGCAGCTTTATGATTAATTCTGTTCCTAAAATCTAAACTCCTTTTCACTTCTATTTTTTTTTTCTTACTAGTAATCCTGGAAACAAACTTTAAGTGGAAGTTTATTAAAATTTCTTCACTAAGTGCTTTTTACCAATTACTAAACAATAATAAAATTACTTATTATTATAAAATAGGGGAAAAACCCACAAACTAATATTACAAACAAAAAGTAAATACATTATTATTTAAAATTCATTTCTCCTGACTGTTTTCCTGAGACACGTTCTGTCCATTTTCAAATGAGCAAGACAATTTGCAGTTTGCCACCAGCCTGGAGAAAACTTCATGGCCTGTAGGAATAAGGGAAAAGAGAGCAAGCTAGTTAAAAGAAATGTATCATGCAAATTAAAAAAAAATCTAGTGCCAACATTTTTTGTTTTCCATTCATTCGTGATTAGTGTCAGCCTGCAAGAAGTTAAGGGAACATATCATTTCTCGATAAGCATTATTTCTATACCCCATGCATCTGCTGAGTGTTTTGGAGAAGGAGATGCTTTATCCTGCTGACTGCTCTCTCTTGCTGGATATGAATAAGGAAGCATGTGGCTCCCATTACTACTGCTGTGACTTAAGGAGAACTAGCCAAGGATGAAGCCAACTCTTTGCTGAGTGAGCACAAATAGAGGAATAATATTTCCCTGTGTAGGAGCTTCTCATTCACCCAAGTGTGCAGACTACCTTCCCTCCAGACTGCCGGTTCACGTGAGCCAACACATTTCCTTCATTCTAAATCCTCTGGTTGGGTTTGATGCCATCACAGCCAAACTACCCTAGCGGATTGGACCAGCCGTGATGCATTTGCTCTCTTGGAGCCGTTCTCTGTCCTTCTCTGAGCTCCAAGGGGCTGACACATCACAAGGACCCCCTTGTCCCCTGGGTTCTCTTTGGGTTTGGCTACTGCGAGGCACCTGCTGGAGATCTGAAGCAGGAGTGAGAAAGTCTGGGGAGTTTTTTTCTCCATTTGTTCCTCTTCTTTGTTTAGGTTCCCAAGGTGACTACTTCCATGCCCAGATATAGCTCCTACAGAGCATAGGCCCTCTGGCGGCCACCCTCTCAGTGCCAAGGTAACCTGCAGCCCTTCCAGGCATGGGAGGGGAGCAGCCTCCTGCCAATGTGAGTCTCCAGGAGCCTCAAAGTTCCTTTGGGTTCCTCAACCCTGCCCCCCCCCCCATTCCCTCAACAGAATCTTGCTGTTGGATCCTGCTGGGATCCTAACTGATGTAACATTTAAAGGGCTTAGAATAATATTTGGCATATGGTAGATAGGGGCGCCTGGGTGGCTCAATCAGTTAAGTGTCAGACTTAGGCTCAGGTCATAAACTCGCAGTCCATGGGTTCGAGCCCCATGTTGGGCTTTGTGCTGACAGCTCAGAGCCTGGAACCTGCTTTGGATTCTGTGTCTCCCGCTCTCTCTCTCTGCCCCTTTTCTGCTTGTGCTTTGTCTATTTCTGGCTCTCAAAAATAAATAAATGTAAAAAAATACACATTTGGCATATGGTAAGTGTTCAGTAAATGTAGTTACTATTAAAAGATAGCTACTGTTATTTTTGTTCAGTGTGAGATATTTAAACTAAAATACCTCTTCTTTGTGCCCAAAAACAAGGAAGAAAAAATAGAAAATAACCACCACAACCATATAGAATCAGAAAGCAGGTTGATCTCAGTACACTAGAAAAAGTGTATAAAAGTCCTCTTTCCACATGCCTGCCAATGTGGTAACATGCAAAAGAAAGATGTGAAAGTCTTTCATTTGACTTTAGATTCTATGAAAAAAAGTCAATTTACTTTTAGATGTTTCTAAGCATAAATTCCAGTTGTTGATTTACTAGACAAGGTTAAGCCCTATCTCACCAGGTAACTGTCACGTGAATAGTTTCTCACCTACCAAATTTATCACCCTTACCATTAAGCAATACTAGTTTCTTGAATATCTTCATTTATTGGAGTTATCTCTTTACCAAGAGTTTCCATTTCTTCTTCCTTCTTCCTTCTTTTACGACGCTTCCGAAGAGGGCTTGGAAGATAACGTGTTAGAAGTTAGTTATGGACCTGTCAGTTCATGTGAACACAAAATTAACCATCAGGATGATTTTGGACCTCTGATCTCATTTCTAGAGGGTTAAAAATGTGTAGGTTCCTTTTTTTCTTAACTATTTTAGGTTCTCTCTTAACCTATCTCTTTTTCTAGGCTCCCATGATACTCACAGTGGGCAAAAGTGTGAATAGAGTTACCGAAAAAGAAAGAACAGGGCATCTGGCTGTTGACGGAGCTTGGTTAGAACAATGTTCAGGACAAGTCATTTTATAAAACAGACTAATAAGCACTGTGTAGTATATGAATAAGAAATAACACAAATTGGACACCAACGTAAGGAAACCAAGGGAGTGAGGGTAGCCTCGGAATGTGTTAATTAAGCTCATCCATACATTAAAAATGTGTCAGATATTCTGGATTACAGTCCAGTTTCTTAACGTATAATTCAAAATTGATGTCATTATATATATATAATATATATATATATTGCAAAATGATCAACACAGTAAGTTTAGTTAACATCTGCCAGCACACACAGCTACAAAATTTTTCTTTCTTGTGATGAGAACTTTTTAAGATCTACTCTCTTAGCAACTTTCAAATATACAATACAATGTTGTTAACTACTGTCTTCATGCTGCACATGACATCCCCAGGACTTATTTATCTTCTAGCTGGAAGTTTGTACCTTTGATCACCTTCATACTTTTTGCCCACCTTCTTTTTTTTTTTTTTTAATGAAGAGATTCATTCTCACTTTTTTAATAACAATTTTTAAATATTTATTTATTTTTGAAAAGAGAGAGAGAGAGACAGAGCATGAGCTAGGGAGAGGCAGAGAGAGAGGAAGACACAGAATCTGAAGCAGGCTCCAGGCTCTGAGCTGTCAGCACAGAGCCGATGTGGGGCTCGAACCCACAAACTGTGAGATCATGACCATAGTCAAAGTCAGATGCTTAACCGACTGAGTCACCCAGGTGCCCCCATATTTTATTTCAAATTATAATAATTATGCTCAGTAAAATGACAAAAACCGTGTATCACATGTTTCATTATAAGTAGATACTTCAATATAAGTGATTTATTTAAATCATAGCAAAAAGGAAAGAAGAAAGATATGAAGGAGGGAAGGAAGGTAAGAAGAAAAGAAACAGCCAAATAAAAATTTCTCAGATTCACTTAAAATTAGGTTAAAAAAAATACTTACTGACAGCATGTGCAGACACCGACCACCAAGATGATAAAAATCACCATAACTACTATCAAACAAATCACCAAAATCTGCCCTCTATCTCCTCTGAGGTAAAACAAGTCAACTCTCTCACATCTTGCCCCAGTGTAGCCTTCATCGCAGCTGTAAAAATAAAACAACAAGGTGATTTTTAAGAATCACTACTATTTCTTTTTTGAAGGAACTAACACGGCTGTCATTTACTGGAATTAATAAAGGACTCAGTTCCTTTAAAGAAAAATTTTATTTTCAAATAAAGCTGTATACCACTGTGTTCACAAGTAATTTCACTTTCTTTGCTTTGCTGAAAGCCTGTCATCACTTGAACATTAGCAATATGGCTAATATAAATAAACAGAGGTAATCACAATTTACTTAAACTGACTTTAATATTTTAGACTTTAAATGAGATGGCATAATCCTAGATGGCAAAATTCCCTACCTGGCATTCCCAAGCACTTAAATACCGCCATTTCAAGGAATTCAAAAGCCCCAGGACAGCCCATTTCACTGAGGGCAGTCAGCTTGCCCAAGTCCTCTTGTTCCAGTCTTTAGAAGTTATGCTGTTTTACATGATCACACGTGGTAACGTGTGAAAGTCCATAAACCGATGCCTAAACATAGAAAGCTCTGTAAATGTTCTTCCACGGGATTCCTTTCTCTTAGCTTTCACCCACCAGTTCTGATTCTTCTGTTCATGGTGGCCCCAGATTACGTGATGCTCTTCACCCCTCCAACCACAGCCTCCCAAAACACAATAGGTCTTGTCCTTCGCAGCTCCTTTATCTGATGCTCAGAGGCCCATTTTCAGACATGCACACCATTCCCTCCACTGTCCTATAAATGGCACCTTTCTCTGCAGCCCTCCTAAAGGGCAGCGGCAACCAATCAACGAATCTCCAAGGGCGACTTTCACTCTCCTCAGTCTCTCAACGTTTTATCAATACAGTCTTAGGATTTAACTCCAACCCAGCAGATTCCCTTTGACCAGCCAAGGCTTGTCTGAGCAACACTCAGCTAAAGGCTCAGTGATTTGGGGACTATCCACAATATTGTCTGAACCATGTTAGATGCTTAAACGGTATGTGAGAAGTTTGAGGATATTGCAAAACTGAAATCATATGTTGTAACAAATATTTTCCCTTTTGTCTTCCTCAGACTTATTCAAAATGAAAGAGATACTGGTCATATACATAACTGCTTAAATCTCAAAAAGATGAAATTCTGTTTCTTAAAAAGATTTCTGTGTACCCTCAGTTGTTTACTTATTTTTGTTCTTTTTTTTTGTTTTCTTATTTATTTTTTAAATGTTTGTTTATTTATTTATTTACTTACTTACTTACTGAGAGAGACAGAGAGAAAGAAAGCAGCCAGGGAGGGGCAGAGAGAGAGAGAGACAGACACAAAATCCAAAGCAGGTTCCAGGCTCTGAGCTGTCAGCACAGAGTCCGATGCAGGGCTCAAACTCATAAGCTGTGAGATGATGACCTGAGCCCAATCCAAGACTCAGACGCTTAACCAACTGAGCCACCGAGGCGCCCCATCTTTTTGCTTTTAAAGAAAGGATCTATTGCCAGAACATTCTCTAGTTCATGTTTGACAAGAGCAGGGCAGCTAATTCCCACAAAGTCTATCTTGCACGAGTAAGGAGATCCCTTAATGCCAACATTAGCACTGATACAATGTTTGAAACAATAACACGAAAAAAATCGAGCTTGGTCACAACCATACTGAAAGGTGATGCTCAGAGCAAGCCACAGAGAAAAGACATCTGATGGCATATACTGCAAGAGGACCCTAGCATATGTGAGGGAAAGCTGCTTCCTTGCAAGGTCAAAATAATAGGAAGAGAGCTTAGAAATATACTGAAATATCAAAAATCTCTTGCACATAGAACTGGAACTGGTGAGGGGGAATCACTTTTAATTGCATGTGTGGGAGGGAGATTTTTTTTAAAGAGTTTTTTTTTAAGGTCATAATTAAAATCTTACAAACACAATCTCTTCCAATTAGTTTAAGTGCTTCTCTAACACATTTGCTAAATATGGCATTTTTAAACAATAAATTTGCCCATAAAATACACAGCAAGTACTTGCTGCTCTTTTAGAATGTTTTTCTGATTATGGCTCTGGGTTCAGTGGTGTAACTGTGCTTTAATTGAATTTCTTAGCAAGTATAGCCTGCTTCCTGCAAGCTGTAACCTCATGAAGCCAGGACAGAAGGTCAGCCTTTACACAGGCAGTTACAATGGCTCGCATGTTATTTCACTTCTCATCAAACCAATAATATGTCAGCTAATGGTCATTTCAATGGGAAAAGAAGAGGCAAAGAGTACACGGTCCTAGCAGATGTTTATGAAATGCTGAGTAACTGAACAAATCAGTTTTTATTTAATAAACATCTTATAAAATTTAAAATAATTTTTAAAGATGCCCATGACCCTTTAGGACTCTGAAAGGAATTTTGGATCACTGTCCTGAAATAATCACCAGACACAGTTATAAGGGATTTGTAACTATTAACTCCATTGATCCTTACAACAACCTTTGAGGTTGCGAACCCATTATGAACCCATTTTGAAGTTGGAGAAACTAAGGGTATAGAGAAATTAAGTGAGCAGGGCTGGGATTCAAACTGTTAGACTCTCAAGTTGATGCCTCAAGCACATGTAATACTGCTTAAATGAACTGTACTGCATAAATACATAAAGATATGTATCTGAAAACAAATCATTCCTATTCCAAGAAAATACTAAGGAGACTAAGGGGGGTTGAGTTATTTGAGATACCTTTTTTTTTATGTAAAAAACCACAGGAATCCACAAATTCCTGTAGTTCCAAGCAAAAGGAGATACTTCTGGTTTTCCAGGCAAGGGTCACTAATGGCAACACAGTTTTGACTGAATCTGTGCTATGATAAGTCACCTAAAAGGTCAGGTTCATGTCAAACATACCCCACCCCTCAGCAGTACAATTTATGAAACATCTACTCTGAGCTGGGTACTTACTAGACTAAGTATTTTTGCTTAATGTATTCTTTTGCTTTATTTTCAACACTTGAGGGGAAGATATCATCATCCCCTTTTACAGATGATAAAACTGAGGCCCGGGAAGAGTAATGGGGGGACCTGTTGTTAGTAGTGCTTATAATCGATACAGACAAAATCTTACCTTAGGTCTACCTGACTTCAAAATCTGTGTCCTGACTTCCCTGGTTTTCTTGCTATTGATTCTGTATCATTTTACCACTAAGAAGATGCTCCTGGCTCACAGGAAGGCCTTGGTATTGTCAGCGCAGCATTAGATTTGCCACAAATCTATGGGGACTTATTGATTTATTCGCACTTGTTTCCTGAGCACCTCTTACAATTCTGACTCTGTATTTGGCACTGGAGCACAAAAATCAATAAGCCACGAGCCCCGCCTGTGGGTGCTCATAGTCACGGGAGGGAAGCTCAGAGAGACCAACAGCTATGCTCCGGAGGAAAAGAGTTGTCATAGAAGGGTGACCAGATCTCAGAGCCAGGACATCTAACACACCTGAGCATGCGCCCGAGAAGAGGGAAGTCAGTGCAGGGACCCAGGAGAAGCTGAGGTCTGAGTTGCAGCCAAAACCTCAGTGAGAATAAGCTCTCAGACTAGGGGAGCTTGTGTGATAAACCACAAAGAGGAATGTCGATTTCAGAAGAACATCTGGGAATACAGTGAGAGGTGTGGCTAGAAAGGTAAGCCAGAATCAGAGGAGCTGTGGAGGCCATGGAAATGAGTTTTAACCTCACACTGAAGGGGACAAGCTGCGTTATCAATCTTAGGCAGGGAGATTACATATTGCGGTTTTCATTTTAGAAGGCAGCAGCATTAAAAAACAGTAAATCTGCAGGCATAGGGACAAGTTAGAAAAATGTTCTGGGTTAAAGGGCATTAATATTTTTAAAACCCAATATATTCTTCTAAGCCAGTGAGCAATTAGAAAAAATTAAAAAAAAAAAAACTCTATTCTTTCCCCACGCACAGCGCACGCGCGCGCGCGCGCACACACACACACACACACACACACACACACACTCACTCACTTTATTTCCTTACGTTAGCAATTCCTATCCCGTCAAAGTATTATCTAGTATACTTATTTTTTAATTAAATTTAATTACAATTAAATTTTTATGAAGCCCATGACCCTTAAATGTTCCACTAAATTAGGGTTTTTGGAATCACTGTTCTGAGACACTTATGGGGGAAAAAAAAGTATACCAAGGGAACTACACATAAAAACATAAACATTCTATAAACTTTAAGTGAAAATTATACTTAAAAAAGTCACCTTGCTCATCTATCAGAAAAGGTCTCAGAGAGCACCTAGAAGGATATCTCTTTAGAAGAAAATATTTTGTAAATGCAAAAAAGTTGCTTGTGGCTGAATTAAACTAAACTTGGACTCAGTCTCCTAAGAGGCGGAAAGAGCACTTTTCTTCCAATTCCCTCCTGTAATAAACAGGCTTTGCAAATCTCTGCTCATTTCCTTGAGCAGAGCGGGACTCATTTCCTTGTACTTAATTGACACCTGCAAAAGTAACTGGTAATTTGGCAGAAAATCCTTCATATTTACATTAGCTGCAAACCACCTAACACATGCCAGAGAATTTTCTTCCATTCGAACCACCTGGGAGATGAATGGAGCCAAAAAGCATCCTTACCACTGGGCAGAAAGTTCTGCTTGCCTAAGGCAGCAGAGGACACAGCCTGGGAGCTGATCTGGGTTCTCGCACACTCCTATATCAGGAGGAAAGTGTGCATCAGTTTCTGAATAAGAGGCTACAGAAAGGGCCCTTAAACAAGTGGCCAAGGGCAGGACCAGGGGAGCTGTGTCCTGACAGAGAGGGCTTGGTTAGCTCAGACTTTCCAGTCCTGTCAAGTCCACGGCCAGCACTGCTCTGCACCCCTCCGCCTGCTACTGGCTCGGGGCTCCACTTACACGCAGGAGGGCGTCTGCTCGGCCACCACGAAGCGACATCTCCCTTTGATGCAGTAGTGCTTGTATTGCTTGGGGCACCGAGAAAAGTGGCCTCTCCGCTTCGATTGTGTGGTGGTGGCTGGCAAATGAGAAAAATTCCAATAAATCAACTCAGTTGAGGTACACAGTTCTACGTGGAATCATATTCCCCTCTTTGCTGCCAGTTTTTCTATAGAAGATACTCCAGTGTCTCCTTTCTCCCTCTCTCAACACTGGGATAAAAGCCAGACTTTTGTGGTCCCAAAATAGCTCTACAGATAGAGTGATGGGGATCTTGGTGGGAATGTTTCATATTTAATTAAGATTGGTGTCCAACCTACCTCTTAGAAACCTTAATGTTGTTTAAAGGGGGGAAGCATAGTTGTGGTGAGAGAAGGCTATTCTTTCTGTGAAAGTTATTGGAGCCATGGGGCTGATGGCATTAAAAAAAGAAAACAACTTTTCCTCTTTCCCTTCCCTTCCCTTCCCTTCCCTTCCCTTCCCTTCCCTTCCCTCCCCTCCCCTCCTCTCCCCTCCCCTTCCCTTCAACATGCACATAGCAGTAACCAAGTGCTGGATACTGGTCATTATATATATATATATAACTATTATAACTACATATAATAGTTATATATCTATTATAACTATATATCTACTATATATAGTGCTTATATATATATATACTATATGTAATACTACCATATATATAAAGTACTACTATATGTAGTTATAATAGTTATATACATAAGAGTTCATATATAGTAACTTATTCAATGCTTGTAACAACCCTGTGAGGTAAGCATCATTCTTATCTCCTATTTGTGGATGAACAAAACACAACACATGGAGGCTAAGTCATCTTCCAAGATCACACAGCTAGTAAGAGGCAGAACTGAGATTCAGACCCAGCAGGTCTTGCCCCAGAGTCCATGCCCTTGACCTCTCCACTCTGGCAATCTGCCAAGCTCGCCGTTCAGCAGGTAGCTGTCATCTGCTCTTAGCCTGATGCATGCAGAAGTCTCGCTTGCCTGCATGGGAGACTCTCCCACTCATTTAACCCCTGAGTGATTTCTCTTGCCCTAAAAAAAGGGACAGATACTGGAAGCCTTATATCCCAGATTTCGATCCTGCTCTGACTTCCTTGTCTTACCATTTAGAGTTTTCATTGTCTAATTTTTCAACCGGGGATGATGATCCATAACCATTTCTCCCTTGTGTGCATGTGGAAGGTTTTAATAAGTAAGGATTGACCAGAGAAACGCTACAGAAATACTAAGTTGCTGTTTCATGTGTTGATTCACACCCGACATGTGCCCACACCCAGAGCCAAAGGCTGACTAGCCAGCTCCAGCCCAGGGTTGGACTTCTCCACATTTGTGCTATGACCAACAGCTTACAGGACTCAGACACCTGTGGAGCCAGAAAGACCATGATGTTCACTTCAGAAGGGCATTTCACACTAGGTTTGCTAGGCACCTGGCATCCAAAGGACATTAATAGTAATGACTACTAAACTTCTTAATTAGTATTATAAAATGAGTACAGAAAATCCCCAGGGCGACCAGAGAGAGGAATTGCCAAGGACTCCAGATGATCCATACACAGCAAATTCCTGTAATGCCAGGTCACAAAGTTTCAGGGGGTGACAGGATGTTGCTGAGGAACTGGCTGACCTGGTTTTGGATGGTGACTTGATTACCAGCTAGGCTGACAGCTTCTACATGCCAGACATTTGCTCCCACGCATGCCGGTCAGTTGGGATCCTTACTGAAATTTCTTCCAGAAATAACTCCAAAGTGTCTCAAAAACAAAGACTTGTAGGTTTGGGCAAATAAATGTACCGGTCAATATTCATGCATACTTTCTATTTCCAGAGCCCTGTAGTAAGCACTGAAAAACATCAAAAGAATGAAGCGTATCTTGTCTAAGTTGGAACAATAGAATAAAACAAGGGCAATAATAAGCAACCAGCCCATAGAAACAACCAGACTAACTGCATCGACAGTTGTGGCACACTGGAAACCGTGAAGGAAAGAACAGCAGATGAGGAGGAAGGAAATCAGTGTCTTATTTTCAGCTCTGCCTTTGCTTAGCTGAATGGCTCTGGGCTAGCTTATGAAGCTGTCTGAGCATCAGTTTCCTCACCTGTACCCTGAACATGATAGCATCTACCCCAAAGGGCTGTTGAGGAACTCAAATAAAAACTGCACACACTAGTTCCTAGCAGAGTACCCTGCACAATAAAGTCCTCAGTAAGTGAGTTGATTCTAGAATCTTGACAAATCTTAGCAATTCTAAGAGAAATGTGGTATCATTACACAGAGCACTTATCTAATTAAAGAAGAAGTTCTGGGAAATGTGGATTTTTTTTTTTTTTTTTAGGAGGAGGCAAGCAATCTAATAAGTTATTGTAACTGTTTAGGAACAAAAGCTCAGGAACATGCAAGTCTTATAATGCGGGGAGTGGGAGGCAGATTTAATGGAAATGTAGGGGACGTGGAGGGGAATGGCCAGGGTGGTCTGTGAATGGAATTAGAGACATCAAATGGCAGTAGGCTGAAGTGTTTACACTTGGAATACAAGGCAAGGGAGAGCTGAAGAAGGTTCTCATCACTTAAATTAAATGGATTATGTAAAAACTACATTTTTTGAGTTTATCATTTTTCAGTGTATTAGGTAGGACTCTGAGGCTGGATAAGAGGATGCTAAGGGTAAGGAGGAAACCAAGGCATGCCTGAGCCATGCAAACATATGTGATGTGGGCCTGCAGGAAGGGGACTGAGGTTTAGGAGATGAATTTAAGAAGCAATAAGACTTATTGACAGATCTGCTATGATCCAGCAAGGTCCTTCCTACTTTGCAAAGCATACCTGACTTTAAATATAAGTCACATGGCGCTAGATCCTGAGCTTTACTAATTCTTCTAGTGGTTATGTCCCTTTAACTGTAGTTGGCCTTTTAATAAACACCATACGGAGCATGATCCCAAAAAGTGCCTTAACCGGCAGCTGCTGGGAGCAGGGATTTGACCAGCCTCAGCCCATCCAAGAGGCACAGATCCATGCCAGGGAAATGGTTGCCAGGCACTGTTTGGATCACTCACAGAGCTCTCTCCTTTGCCAAATAAACATGATCTTAAATATTCCCAGCATTATTTGGATTTAAAAACCTTTCCCTGCCACCAAGCACAAAATGTCCAGTGATTTCTCTATGGAATTTAAAACGTGGAAAAAAAAATACAATACTCATACCGCCCCCTCCCCAAAACAGATGGGATCATCTCATCTCTCTGATGGAAATGAGAAGGCTTATCAGCATACCCCCTTTCAAAATGCACCTAAAATTCCACTTGCTTTCATCTAATATTCATCAAGGTCACATTATCTGAAAATTGAACAACTGTGAACTCTAACATTTTCTGCCTATCATGAGACCTGATGACATAGGGCAGGGGACGGCAAAATCTATCCTTCCATTCCAGAGATGTTTATCAAGAAGGAAAAGTTAATCCTGTGACAGAAGAATGACTAGTCCCATGTATCGTGTTTCTTTGTTGAGAAGTGAATGACCTGGTCTTGAAATCGCGATGTGAAAATTCCCTGATACCGGGGGTGTTGGAACTTAATTGTTCTTTTTTCCCCTCCCACCTTACTCTTTTCTAACCCACCTTCCCCAAACCAAAACATTCTCTGGAATTGAGTCTGTCCCGCAAAATTGCACTGGAAAACTACATCCACTAGCAGGCCAGATCGCCACACGATCTCCTAAGTGGATGGGCCCCCATTACTTGTGGGGTAATGTATCTCAATCTCTTCTTAAGGTGCCACGTTCCAAAGATTCTAAAGCCAGTTAAATAAGAAACTACTACGATCACTCCAGATAGGTATATGTCAAAATCTAATTCTAAGTGAGAACATCTTTCTTCCATCATATGGGCAGATAGACAAGAAGTGGTCATCTGCCTTGGATCATATGAATAGTTGGATGAGATGCGAGATTCTTCTGGGCCAAACTAAAGTGGAGGAATAGAGCACACACTCAAATAACTTCTCATAAATATGGAGTTTTCCTCAGTTTGATGGATGTTTGGATTAAACAGCATGGTTTCCTGGTCTTTCTTGTACATAACTCTAACTCTCAAACCAAAACAGGCCTCGTGATGCTTTTCTGCTTAAAATCTCTCAAAATTGGGGAGGCTCTGACACTTAAATGTCTGACTCTGGATTTTGGCTCAGGTCATGATCTCACAGTTTGTGAGTTCGAACCTTGAATCTTAGCTCTGTGCTGACAGCATGGAGCCTTCTTGGGATTCTCTCTCTACCCCTCCCCTGCTCAAGCTGACTCTCTCTCTCTTGTTCAAAATAAATAAATAAACTTAGAAAAAACCCTCTTCCTTGGGGTACCTGGGTGGCTTAGTTGTTTAAGCATCTGGCTCAGGTCATGATCTTACAGTTTGTGGGTTTGAGCCCTGCATCAGGCTCTGCAGTGGCAGTGTGGAGCCTACTTGGGATTCTCTCTCTCTTCCTCTCTCTTTGCCTCTTCCCTGTCTCTCACTGTCTCTCATTATAAATAAACTAAAAAAAACTCCTCAGAATTGATACATTAGGTTTATTTTTCATAAAACATTCACTTACTTATTCTAGTTGTACTCATTACAAATCTATTTAATGATTTTATAAATGATATTAATATCAGCAGCTCTTCTAAAATCAACTCTAAGTAACATGCAATTATTATTACAATGCTTTTATGTAATTCTCATTACAATGTTGATAATCTCATAATATATCTAACCCCCTAGTTAAATACATAGTTAAATTTTTGTGCAAGAGATTTAAAAGGAGGTGCTAAATTTTGAGATAAAAGTCCCAAAGTGTTAACAAAGAGAGAGAGGAAGTAAAACAAATACCTATAACTTTATCTTCCCACATAGATACCTGACCTTAAAAAGGGAACAGGTAGAGCACCTGGGTGACTTAGGCTCAGGTCATGATCTCACAGCTCATGAGTTCAAGCCCTGCATTGGGCTCAGTGTTGACAGCTCAGAGCCTGGAGTCTGCTTTGGATTCTGTGTCCCCTCTCTCTCTGCCCCTCCCCCTGCTCATGCTCTGTTTCTCTTTCTCTCAAAAATGAATTAACATTAGAAATTTTTTTTTTGAAAAAGGGAACTGCTAATGCACAGAAGAGTTTAAGTAGTCACAGAAAAACTTGGAGAAAAATTTCTTCCTGGTCTGTGAAGTAGAGCCTAAGCCTTTAATCTAGTCCTTGGCTTCCTGGCAGCTTCTCAATAGATATGTCCTCATTTTACAACCTGGTTAAGCCAGGAGGTGAGGAAGAAAGTTTTATATTTTCTAAGTTAATTTTCCATCTTATCTTCCCCACTCTCTCCCTGAGACTGGGGAATGTAAATTCACAATGCCCTTGAAGAAGTGCAAAATTTGAACATTTCTCTTATTTGAGGATTCCCATTTGGTTTTATATCCAATGCCATTCCCGACAGAAACGTAAAAGAGTTGGTTACTCCAAGAAAAGAAAATTAGACCTCACACATTTACTTGCTAACCCTCCAGTGTTACGAGAATATGCTCAGATGGGGGCTAATCAGAGTACGTCAGGATGTCTTTTAAGCAGGAGGACTATGCCAATGATTTCTCAGCTTACAGGAGTGGGCCCTCACTTAGAGCTGCCCTTTTTCAATGGGGACTCGAAGGGGCACATGCACCCCAATGTTCATAGCAGCACTATCAGCAACAGCCAAAGTATGTCAAGAGCCCAAATGTCCATGGACTGACAAATGGGTAAAGAAGGTATGGTATATGTATCCAATGGAGTATTTCTCAGCAATCACAAAGAGTGAACTCTTACCATTTGCAGTTACATGGATGGAACTGGATGGTATTATGCTAAGCAGAACAAGTCAGTCAGAGAAGGTAAGTATCATATGATTTCATTCACATGTAGAATTTAAGAAACAAAACAGATGAACACAGGGGAAGAGAAGGAAAAATAAGGTAAAACAGAGAGGGAGGCAAACCATAAGAGACTCTTAAATACAGAGAACAAACTGAGTGTTGCTGGAGGGGTTTTGGGTGGGGGGATGGGTTAAGTGGGTCATGGGCATTAAGGAGGGTACTTGTTGGGATGAGCACTGGGCGTCGTGTGTAAGTGATGAATCACTAAATTCTGACACTGTATGCTAACTAACTTGGATTTGAATCCAATTAAAAATTTAAAAACAAAATAATAAAACAAAACAAATAAACAAAAAAGAGCTACCCTTTTTCAGTCTGTCTCTTTCAAGGAAGAAAAAAGAATTTAGGGTAGATGTGTGAGAATATTTGCATGTTTAAAAGTATTCGTAGCTGGGGGGCAAACAAAGAACAAAGAAGAGGAAGAAAACTTGTGTTTCTTTTGTTTTCCAGGAGTGCGTGTTACAGAATTCTTATGGATATAATGCTACCTTTGCACTGTCTCCTTTGCTGGTTCTTCCCCAACCTCTAAATTTTGCAACGCATTGGGACTCAGTGTTTTTACACTCCTTTCTGGCCATTTCCTGATTTTAAACACCTTTATGGTAACAATTCCCAAATGTATGTTTCCATCCCAGATCTCTTCCTTCAATGTTCAAACTGTCCAAGCAACATCCCCACTTGGATGCCTAACTGGCATTTCAAAGTAATACTTCCAAAATGGAACACCTGACTTTCTCCTTCAAACCTGGTCTTTCTCCATCTCAGTAAATGGCACTTCCTTTCTTTCTGTTATTCAGGCCAATATCATAGTCACTTTGACATCTTTCTCTTTTACGCTGCATCCAATTCATCAGAAAACTCTATTGGCCGTACTTAAAATGTATGCTGGGGCGCCTGGGTGGCTCAGTCGGTTAAGTGTCTGACTTCGGCTTAGGTCATGATCTTGCGGTTCATGGGTTCGAGCCCCGCATCGTGTTCTGTGCTGGCAGCTCAGAGCCTGAAGCCTGTTTCAGATTCTGTGTCTCCTTCTCTTTCTGCTCCTCCCCCGCTCATGTTCTGTCTCTTTCTGTCTCAAAAATAAATAAACTATAAAAAAAATGTATGTAGAATCGTCCCTCCATCTCTACGACTCTGGTCTAAGCCTGACATCATCCCTGGGCTAGAAGTAGTCTCCATGGCAACAACCTCTAACTAGTCTCTCTGCTCCTGTCTTATCCCCTCTTAACTGTCTAGCCTGCACACAGACACCAGAGTGATGCTATTAAAACTCAAAGTTGAAGGCTTTATAATCCCTGGCAAGGCTGTGCATGACATTACTCATTACCTCTCTTTCTACGTTACCTCTCTGACCTCATCTGTGACTGACTATGTGGTTCATTGTTGCATCCTTGGAACCTGGAACAGGGCAGGCTGCATAAGTATTGTTGGAATGAATAAATTCCTTACTCAAGGTAGAAAAGGACAAACTAAAAGTAAAATGCTTAGAGATTGGGGCTATGTGAAAATAAAATAATAAAATCATTTAAAAATAAGAACAACTCTTGGGGTGCCTGGATGGCTCACATCGACTGCCTGACTCTTGATTTTGGCTCAGGTCATTATCCCAGGGTTATGGGATTGAGCCCTGTGTCAGGATCCATGCTGAGTGTGGAGCCTGCCTAAGATTCTCTCTCTCTCCCTCTGCCCCTCCTCTGCTCACATGCTTGCGTGCTCTCCCTCTCTAAAAAAATTAAAAGATAAAAAAATTTAAAAATTGTAAATTACAAAAAAAGAAAAAATAAGACCAACTCCTAAAGATCATCTGAATTAGTCTTTCATTTTATAGATTGCAAACTGATGTCTGAAGACTTACGTGACTTGCCCCTGGTCATAGTCAATAATGACAATCTGCTCCTTCTCCATATTAATTCCTTTTCAAGAACATTTTGCCCTTATTTGGGCTTTACTTTGAAGGACTATTTTTCAGAATTTCCTTCACATATACAGCATTCTGATTTTCCTGCACGATTCTAACAGTTTAGCATTATGATTAACAATAGGCATTCTGGAGCTAGTCTCTCCAAATTCATGTCAGGCTACTATCCTTACTGTGGGACCTTAAATGAGCTAAAAATCTTCTGTACAAGACAGAAACAATAAACTGAAAAGGCAGGCCTATAGCTGCTATGGGAAACAGTATGGAGTTTTTTTAAAAAAAATTAAAAACAGAACTACCATATGATCTAACAATCCTACCTCTGGGTATTTATCCAAAAGAACTGAAATCAGCATCGGAAGAAATACACACACTCTCATGTTTATTGCAGCACAATCAATTCAAATAGCCAAGATGTGGAAACAACTTAAATACCCATCAACACATGAATGGATAAAGAAAATGTGGTTTATACAAGCAATGGAATGCGATTCAGCCTTAAAAAAGGAGGAAATCTTGCCATTTGCAACAACACGACTGGACCTTGAAAGCATATGCAAAGCGAAATAAGCCAGTTATAGAACAAGTACTGCATGATTCCACTTATTTAAAAAAAAATCTAAACCGCTGAATCCACAGAAACTGAGGGTAGAATAGTGGTTGCCAGGGGCCAGGGACATGGGGGTGGGAATGAGGAGTCCTTATTCAATAGGTATAAAGTTTGGGTTGCACAAGATGAATAATTTCTAAAGATGTGCTGTACAACATCTTGCCTACAGTAAACGATCTTGTGGTGTACACTTAAAATTTTGTCAAAAGACTAGACCTCATGTTAAATATTGTCACTAAAATTTAAAAAATAAGAAACACTTTCAGGATAATGATGAGGCATGATGTTTACAACTGTCAATCACTGGATTATGGAATAATCGCCCAAGGGAAATGTGAAAATGCAATCATTGAAGATATTTCAAACCCAACTGAAGAAAAGCACACAAACACATAAAATTGGTCTTGTTCTTCTCTCTACATGAGTGAGTGACAAGACCCATACAAGGATGACCTAAGACACCAACGGATTCCACAGCCTGTAGGCACTTTCCAGACCACCCATTAGTGTGAGGGAAGAAAGCGGAAGACTGGGCTGGACCTGATGACTCACATCAAGATGACTTGCTCAGCCTGTTCCTGGCTCAGTTATGACTTCTCCAGGGTGCTAGGAAAGGAGCACTTACACCATGTCCCTGCCGTCTGAGTTCCAAAACATTTCCAGGGAATACAGGAGTTTCTCTCCAACCTACTTTTAGAATTGGTCTGTGTTTTGTTTTGTTTTGTTTTAAATCAGAAACAACCCTGGAGAAGAACAGACCATTCAATGTATAAAAGACAGACAGGAGTCAGCAAATTATGGCCCAAGGGCCAAATCTGGCCCACAGCCTGTTTCTCTAAATAAAGTTTTATTGAAACATATCCAATGCAACCCTTTCCTAAGGCTTATCTTTGCTTTAGACTAATAACTTTGAGAATACTGAACAAGCATCTCTAAAGCAAAAAATATGTAAAATCATTGCCTTCTTCCCTTCTTTTAAGTTATGGAACAGAAAAAGTTAAATTGAATAGAATATGCCAGCTTTTGTGAATCTAGTCCAAAATATCCCATACTAGAGTCTGGAGCACATACCTGCAATACCTAAAATAGAGTAGTGTTTAACAATGGAAACACTAGAATCAGAAAGACCTGAGTAAGAATCTCAGATTTGCAATTTACCTGCTGTGTAACCTTTGGCAATTTACCTAATGTTTCTGGACTTCACCTTAAAATAAAGTAAAAAATATTATCCAACTCAGAGGGCTCTTTTGAAGAATGAACACATTACCATATAGAAAGCACTTGGCAGAGAGCCTGGTACATTAGTGTGTGCTCACAAGACTACCTTGTCTTATGATTACTGTAGTATTAAAAATGAAAATTTAGGGAAATCAACTTTCTAAGATTGAACATGAAGCTGATAAAACACAAATGCACTGCGTGTTAAGTATTACCTGCACAGTTTTCCCCAGGGTCTCCACAGAGAAGGCCATCCTTTTCAGGACTTCGGGTTGAATTCCCATCTGCCACAACACAGTGGAGGATCACTAGACCTTCAAGTTCAAAACAGAACCAAACAAGCATGAAAACTTGAAAATTTCCTCAATGCAAAATACTCTGTCAAAGTCATGCCCTGTTTATGAAAATAGCAAGCCTGTGACTTCCATTTCCAAGGCATTCTGCCACAGGAAGAGGGGTGGTACACAGGCCAGCATGTCTCATTTTTTACACTCAGTGCCAAAGACAGAATTTTCAAGCCAGCAACACTTAAATTTAAGTACGCGTCTTAAGTGAAGAGATTTGGCCATAGTTTGTGATGGAGACATCAAAGAAGCAGAGATAAAGAGTTCTCAGCCACTGCACAAATACAATGATGAGTTTCCAAGGAGAATGGATGACAAACCCATGTGGCAATGTACTGTCTCCATTCCATACAGATTCAATGTTTCTCTAGTATAACTATTATTTGTACTTCCTTCTTGGGATATGTAAACTAGAAATTCAATTTGTGGGAATTATTTGAAAATTTGAGTTTCCTTCAGCTAAGTAGCCCTGTTGTTGAGAAGGACAGTTCTCATGAAAAAATGCCAGGGAGAGAGGACTACTGTGTTGTGGTTAGAACAGTTTTAGAATACAGTGTGACGTCCTTAGGTGGACCTTATTCAAACAAATCAACTGTAAAACATGACTTTTGAGATAATCTGGGAAATTTGATCTTGACTAGATATTTTTCTAGATAACTTAAGTGTGCCAATGATATTGTGGTTTAGGTTAAAGAATAGAGTCCTTATCTCTTAAAGATATATATTTAAAATCTTATAAATGAAATTAATGTATCCAACATTTACTTTAAAATAATCTAAAAAAGGAAAATGGGTGCAAGGTGGTGAAAGAAACTTACAGATGAAACAAGATTGGCCACATACTGATAATTGTCAAACCTGGGTGTTGGCTATATACCAAGGTGTATTATGCTCTTCTCTCTACTGTACATACACTATATTAAATATCTGTACTAAGAAGTTAGAGAGGGGAGGAGAAGGTAGGGGAGGGCAGATGGTAAAGATAAGAGGACATGGGAGTTAGCTAGTCTTGAGTTCGTGACCTGTTTTTGCCACTTTACAACCATGTACCTTGGGCAAATTTCATAACCTCTCAATTTCCTGATTGCCAAAGTGGAGATAATCATTATCTCTTCTCCAGAGCATTTCTGTGAGGATTTAATCAGGTAAGTATGCAAAGCACTTAACACAGTGCTGGCGTGTGACAAATGATCACTGAAATTACTCATTATTACATAACTGGCAGGAATTGAATAACTTGCACACTGGGCGCGTTGACATTTACCCATGTAGCCAATGGTTTCTAAGCTACGCATCTTCTTTAATTCACCTCAGTTCAACAAACATCCATGAGCATCCAGAAACACACAGGCAGGTAGGACATGCTCTACCTTCAAAGTGCTCCGAAGCTAGTAAGGCAGGTAATCAGCCAAGCAATTAACCATAATAAGAAGGGAGAGTATTATACCAGAGGACAATAGTATCTAGCAAGTTCAAAGGCCAAAAGTTTTCCAAAAAGATCAATATAGAGACTTTTTTCTAGCTATCTAATTAGAAAAGTTAAAGAAAAAAAGGTTGTCACTAGCATTGGAAATAGTGAATAAAAATGGAAACTTGAATTCACTGGCGATGGGTAAATTACTACTACTTTTCTGGAGGACAATTTAGTACTGTATGTGCTAAAAGCAAAAAACTCAAAAAATATACAAATGCTTAAATCCAGTCATTTCATTTCTAGTAATTTTTCCTAAGGGAGTAACTGAAGATACATAAAAAGATTTAGCTGCAAAAATTCTCTGTATGACATGGATTATAAAAAAGTGAAAATTCCCTAACTATCTAATAAGATGGAGTTAATTAAAAACATAGAACTATTTTCATGCAATAAAATACTATTCAGACATAATTCAAATAGTAATAGAACATTCGGATATATTCCTAAATAAAAGAAATAGCCTATAGAATAATAATGCAGTGATCTGTGTGTTTCTCTGCATCTATGTGTGAAAAGTGTAAAAAATGTTCGTATAGATAATCAAAAAGATAGGTAAGTAAATAAAGTTCCTCACACTGGTTAGACTTTTGTCTTAATTTTCCTTATTTGCATTTTCCAATTTCCTACTAGCATATTTTATTTGTGGCAACAACAAAAAAAGGAGTATCTCCCCAATTTAAAAAAAAAAAACATAATTTGGGGGCGCCTGGGTGGCTTAGTCGGTTAAGCGTCCGACTTTCGCTTAGGTCATGATCTTGCGATTCGTGGGTTCGAGCCCCGCGTCGGGCTTTGTGCTGACTGCCAGCTCAGAGCCTGGAGCCTGTTTCAGAGTCTGTGACTCCCTCTCTCTCTGACCCTCCCCTGCTCACGCGGTCTCTCTCTCTCTCCTAGAAATAAATAAAAATATTTTTTAAAAAAACACAATTTGGCCACCAGATTTCTAGGATTTTCACATCTTTTATCCCAACACCTGCCACCCTTCTTTCACACTTATAACAAACCAGAAACATACAATCATTTAGCGCTTTCCAAGCACAGGGATTGTATATTTACTCATCTTTGTAATCCTGGTAACCAAAACAGAACACAATAGATACTCAACAAATGTTGAAAGGATGAATAATCCATCTATAAATGAACAAAACAACTTGCAGATTAAAAAATCCCAGTATCCGTTTCTAGTAGAAAATTCCAATCCATCTCTTTATTATTATAAAATAGGTAATTCATTTTAAAAATCTCATACATGGGCCTTAATTCTGGAGTTAATCTATTTAATGGCGAGAATTTTATTTAAAAACTCTAAATCTTACAGAGATTCAACATCTGCAAACTGGAAATGACAACATCTCCTTCAGGTTATTGTAAAAATTAAATGAAGTAACATAAGGGGCACCTGGGTGGCTTGTCTGACTTACACTCAGGTCATGATCTTGTAGACTGGGTTGGAGCCCCGCGCCAGGCTCTTGGAGCCTGCTTTGGATTCAGTGTCTCCTCTCTCTGCCCCTCCCCCACTCGTGCTCTGTCTCTGTCTCTCTTAATAATAAATAAAAATTTTTTTAAAATTATAAAAACTTAAGTAACATATGAAAAGGCACACGGCTTGGCACTTGGTATACAATTTTTAGTCTACTTGCACTCTTTTCTCCTACAACTTATTATTTAACTCATCATTCTCCACTTCCACCTAACAGAAGAAGCCTTGATTCCACTGAAACTCTGTTCAGCACCTTCGAACATTCTGGTAGACTGGGGCCTGTGCCCAGACTCTCTTCTGCTCCAACTCACTCCACAAGCTGGCATCGGCTGGTGAAGGGACGCCGCCACTGGGGACAACCCTGGAGAAGACCCCTGGGGAGGATCCATGCTCAGGCAAACCCAACACCAAGCACAAGGCACTGGGGTAGCAGGTACTATTCTACCCCCCACCCACAGTCTTCAGGTCACAGTCACAAGCTGGTGGCCGTGAACCAAATCCAGTCCCAAGAACCTTTTTCTCGATCTGCATGGTTTTAAAAAATTGAATCACGGCCGTTCCTATTTAACCTGGATTTTTCTACTTCCACTGAAAAAGCAGAAGGTCTGGCAACACAGGTCTGAAACGCCTTCCTGGCAGCTACCAGCCAGAGCTAAGCAGCAGGTGACACTTTTCATGCCACGGACCCCATCAGACTTGGCCACACTCATTTATTTTAACTGCCTACATCTTGATAGGCATTTCAGTTTGTGATCAATATGAAGTGACTCAGAAATCAGAGAAATGCTCACAAAACCATTTACTCAATACTGAAGGCAGCTTCAAAGAGAAAAGACATACTTGTTCCATCGATGATTCAAGGAATATTTATTAAGGACAATGTGTTTGGCACTGGCACAAGGCACTGAAGGTTCAAAGATGACAGATATTATCATTAACCTCAAGGAGCTCTCATTCTGGTGAGGAAGAGAGACACACAGATCTTTAAGGTGCCACGTGTGTAGTAAGGATACCAACAAAGGTAACGCGGGAATAACCCGGGAGTTAACACGCATTGGAGACCCGGCTCTACCTAGCTGCAAAGACTTGATAGAGCAGGTGAGGCTCATGGTGAGTTTTTAACGAGGAAGAAATGGTTGTTTTAAACATCAACTGGTAACTTCTAGAAAAAAATTGATGTTATTTGTTTCTGCAGTAGACAATATTTATATGGTTATAATAATGTAAACACTGATAATTTAAATTTATTATATCAAAACTGTCATAAAATCAGGGCCAGTAATTAGCCCACATACACCATGTGGGGAGACCGTTGTGACGAATCAATATCTTTGCTGTGCTGGTTTTCAATGTTTTCAGCAACATCCCTATGGTAACTACACTGAGATTATGGGAGAGGAGAGACTCAGTAGGGAAAGTCGAAAGTTGACCAGCCAAGAAATAGCATTACAAACAAGTTATTTAGCATGAGGGAGGTAAGTACAGAAGAGACCCTTAAAATAGACAAAAGAGGTTGCTTCTTGGAGGTGGAAAGGCAGGGAGCTTTGGTGCAAGATTTGATATTTGTTTTGTTTTGTTTGTTTTTTATTTTTTATGCTACTTGTTGTTATAAACCTTTTAGTACTATTGGATTTTTAAAAACCTATGTATATTTATTATACATAAATTAATTAAAATATTTATTTTACATATTATTATTAGTAGTAGTATTAATTAAAATAAGATTAATTTTTAAGTAAGCTTCATGCCCAGTGCAGAGCCCAATGAGGGGCCACACAGGTGCCCCAAAATAAAATTAATTAAAAAATATTTTTAACATTTATTTTTGAGAGACAGAGAAAACACAGTGTGAGCAGGGGAGGGGCAGAGAGAGAGAAGAGAAAGACAGAATCCAAAGCAGACTCCAGGCTCTGAGCTATCAGCACAGAGCCAGATCCTGGGCTTGAACTCACAGACTGTGAGTCTGAGTTGAAGTCAGACACTCAACCAACTGAGCCACCCAGGCGCCCCAAATTAATTTTTAAGAAAAGGACAAATGAAGTTGTAACTGACCAAGGCATTCTAAACAAAAGTAACAACTTGTAAGAAGACACAAAATGAGTAAGACCACTTGTCTAGTTTGTCTGGAGGGTGGGTGGGGATTGTGATGGAGAGGAGGCTGGGGGCACGTAGGTAACAAATGATGATATTAATTACTCTGGATACTTAGGTGCATAAATTGGGGTCACTGAAAAGTTTTAAGTGAGAAACAACAGAATTATTTTTGTTTGTTTGTTTGAAAAGGGTACTTTAACACCAGTATGGGTGATTCAGAGACACCTACACCAAGGTGGTAGCAGTGGGTATGGAGAAGAAGAAATGAACAAGAGAGATATTCACAAAGTAAAATATAAAAGACTTGGTGACTGGTGGGACAGGGTAGGAGGTGAGAAAACAAGAAGTCTAGAATGCCTGAAGTTTGTCGCTTGGGTGGCTGGCTGGATTGTGGTACCAGCACAGACAGAAGGGATGCCAAAAGACAAACATTAGGAAGAAATATTAATGCATGGAAAGTACGCAAATAATTGCAGGTTACTCTTCAAAGATGTCAAACTGAGAAAAAGAGGGAAAAGATTAGTCAATACATAAAGAAAAAAGAGGGTTCTTTTTGTTTTTAATGTGAGAGAAAATTGATAGAAAGCAGCCAAACGTGTAGGAAAAGAGGCAAAGAATGGAGTATCAGTAGAGGCAGAAGAGATGTATACTGCTTAGCCTGAAAGTCAGGCCTCTTCCACAATGCCTAATCCTTGGCATTCAAAGCTAGCAATTCGGCAAATATAACTTTAGTAAATGAAAAGCCTTTAGAAAATAAGAGCTTAAAGGTATTTTACATTCTGTACATCTCACCTCACTCTTCAAAGGCATCCAAGTTCTGGTTTAAAATGAATGAAAACATCCAAAGGTGTCTCAACTTTCGTGCTGGATAATTCTGTATAATGGGAAAATGTGTCTTCTAGGATGATTAGCCCTGCCTTTTATCTCCTAAATACCCGTAACCTCCCACCTTCCCCTTTCCCCTACTTCTGAGTCATCACAATCAGAAGTATCTCCAGACATTGCCTAATGTTCCTGGGAGGAAAACTGACCTGGTTGAGAACCACTGAAATTCTCTCCAACGTGTTTTAATGTTTTTTTGCCCAAAATATAACTTTCATTTCGAATGTGTTATTTTAATATAAATCAGTCACACAAACTCAAAGGCTCAAATTTTGGTTTCTTAAAAAATGTCTTAGAGTTCCATGATCTTATGGGAAGATCATTGAACTCAGTCATCAATTCACTATGTGACCTTGAGCTAATCAACAATCTCTCCTGACCTTTGTCCTGAAGAAAAATTAGAATCATTTTGAATCATAGGTTCTCTGTCCATCCCATAATCTCATTCATTAAAATTAAATGTAATAATATAGCAAAAGAATTTGTTCAAAAAACATATGTTATTAAAATAATCCTTATCTTCACTGGAGAAAGTATGAATGGTACTTTAGATGTGGAAATATGGTACTTAGATGTGGAAAACATAGTAAACTTTTCATTCTTATTGAGAAGAGTCACAAATTTTATTAAATTTCAGTTCCAGAATTACTAAGAATCTTATAGGTATTAAAATATCCTACCAACAGCACTCAACTTCCCTAAAATCATCCTCTTGGGAGAGTTCATCAAGATGGCCTTTAAAATTTTGGTACAGAGAGTCTATACTCTCTTCTAAGTCATTCCACTTCAATGAGACCATCCATCCATTCTTTCAATTGCAGCCTTCCTTCATTCACAAAGATTATGGGGCTCCTGGGTGGCTCGGTCAGTTAAGCATCCCACTTTGACTCAGGTCATGATCTCACAGTTTATGGGTTCAATCCCTGCATCAGGCTCTGTGCTGACAGCTCAGAGCCTGGAGCCTGCTTCGGATTCTGTGTCTCCATCTCTCTCTACCCCTCCCCTGCTTGCTCTCTCTCTCTCAAAAATAAACATTAAAAAATTTTTTTAAAGATTATTAATCACTTATTTCTTAAGCTCTATAAATGCTTCTTTATGTGAAGCTGAGTTTTGCCTTCCTGTAACTTTACTCTGCTCATTAAAATCACCTGGAACTAATCTACTCTCTTTTTCCCATACCAGATTCTCATCTATTTGAAGCCAGCTATCAAATCTTCCTGAAAGGATTTCTCTTCTTCAGGCTAAACATCCAGGGATCTTTCAAGCACATTTTACCTGTCATCATCAAAACCCTTATAAGCCTTGCCATGATCCTCTAAATGTAAGGTCAAACCAAAGTGCCATTTCACAGGGTCTGGCAAAGACAGAGTAGAACAGGGCCCTCAGCCCCCACATTGTGGGCACCTTATTTCTGATAATTCAGCCCTATCACACATTGGCCATATTTGGCTGTCTGATTAAATACGGGGGTTTTAGTCTGTGTGCAATTGAAGGAAACTGCTAAATCTCTTGTACTACTGGAAAGTGGTATATTGATAGTTTATTCTTTTTTGTCATTGTTCTGTTTTGTCTCATTTTTTACTTTTTACCTAAAAAACAGTTCAAGACTTTTTAAATGTCCCTTTTAAAACTGTATTAGATTTCACCTATCATTCAAATATTTCACAGTTGTTTTTGTTTTCTTATTCTTTCACTCAACCTACTTCATGTGACTGGCGAATTTCTAAAAGATGCATTAAAGCAATAAAAACAAAATAAAACAAAATAATGTTAGATTAGTTGTGTTTGGTAAGTGGTTGGAAATTGAGTATTTCTGGTGCTGGTTTTTAAATATCAACTGTACTCATAAAAATAAAGATAAAAAAGAAAAGCAACCTAATTCTACTTTCGTGAGTCAAAGCTCCATTTACAAGATGCTCAAATTAAAAATTACAGAATTTACTGAAGCATTATCCCTGTCAGCCAGCATGGGGAATGAAGTCATTGGGAACAATGTAAGCATTGAAAGAGACGCAGCTTGACAAGGAGTATGACCCACGGTCTCATAGCTAACTGCTAAATGCTGAGGTAAGTTGTACACCAGCTGGGTCAACTATTTAAAAAGATCAAATGTGACCAACGTAAACAGTCATGCGCGTTGTATTTGCCTCATCCCTGAGCTGAATTTTCCATTTTCAGAGCCAAGTGCATTTTATATTTTAAAAATAAATACAACACTATCACAAAATGGCCATTCATCTGTATTCTGATGACTTAGGACACCTTCTTTGATGTCCCAACTTCTACTTGTGTCTACCAAATTCAGTGATTTCAACATATATCCAATGATATCATATATCTCTGATTTTAGGATTTGAACCACACTCCATGTTCCACTAGAAAATCCAACTGTAGGGGTGCTTTGGTGGCTCAGTCTGTTAAGTGTCTGAATTCAGCTCAAGTCATGATCTTATAGTTAGTGAGCTCGAGCCCTGCTTCTGGTGAGCTCCTGCTCCACTTTTGGTGAGCCCCACTTCTCTCTATCCTTCTGCCCCTGTGGGATTCTCCCTCTCTATCTCTATCTCTCTCTCTCTTTGCCCTTTGCTCACTTTCACCCTCTTTCTCTCAGAAGAAGGAAAGAAAGAAAGAAAGAAAGAAAGAAAGAAAGAAAGAAAGAAAGAAAGAAAGAAAGAAAGAAAGAAAGAAAAAATCCAACTGTAAATCGGAGGGGAATTTATCAGTCTATGAATATAAGAAGAAACTGGAAGAATATTTCATAGTCAAATCTTTAAAATTTTATTTATATGAGAAGGGAACAGTATAGATTAATGGGAAAAGGGTAAGTTTGGAGTCAAATGGCACTGGCTTTGAATCCTGGAGATACCTTCTAATCACTAGCTTTGTGATTATAATTAAGTCACTCAACATTGAACTTCAGGGTCTCCATCTGTAAACTGAGGCCCATAATAAATAACTTACATGGCAGAGATCTAGCTATGTGCTTAAAGAAAGAGAAAAATAAATGATGAATTATTAACCTTGGTCATGCCTGGTACAGGGTAGGTACTCAACACAGAAGTAAAAAAGAGAATTCTAATTACTTCGGTAAAACAGTAGATTATCATTCTCATAAGTGGATATTGACATTTTTCTACATTTATGCTGTGATTTGATCCATGTATAAAGCATGGTTATGAAATAAAGTACAAAAGATACATACACGTATATGTGTACCTGCCACATTTCTACAGTGTACTTAGATGTATGTACTTAGTGAGGCAAAACTGTATGTTGGCCTTTCCTGTGCTGTTTCTTTCCAGCATTTTAAAAAGACCTTCGAAGTGAATGCCCCTCAACTGATGATTAGAAATATGGCCTCTTCTACTTGTATGGGTCTTTGTATTCTCAGGACACTTCTGCCCCTGACTCAGCACACTGTGTGTGTCTGACGGGGTTACTGATTCAGTTGGTTGGTTAAGTGATTCAGTGATACAGATACAATTGATGAAGGCACACTTTGGATGGTCCTAACAGCCAAGTGGATCATGATCCTATCTCTAATTTAAAAAATAAAGTGAACAAAGTTTCCAAAGTTTTAATCAACATTCAGAGTAAAAACTATGAGGATCTGGGGGATTTTTTCATTGTATCTTCATCGTCAAGAAGACAAGCAGAATCCTGAGTACGTGTACTACACAGAGAGAATTTTCTAAGGTTAAAAAAGAAATCATGTTTAAAAAGTATTGAAAAAACTATTAGGGAATGGAATAATGTTTATCACTGTGGGCTCGTGGTTGACTGAGACAAAAACTGAAATAAGGGAAGTTTGACATTAGTGCTCTCCTCCATCTATTTTTGTTAACAACATCTTTTTACACTGTTGCTTTATCCTGGCCTGACATTCCCCCAAATAAAAGATAACTTTTGAATATAATTTATTTTCCAAATGTATTTGCTTTCAAAGCAGATATGCAAGGAGAGAAATGGCTTCACTCAAATACTCTAAAATCAAGTGCTTCAACCTGGGTCTTCTGGAGAGCCAGAGCCTGAGAAACAGATTAAGGGATTATGACTTTATTTGGGAGGTACATGTTCTGGGGTCATGATAATGAAAAGAAAAAAAAAGGAAATGAAGCAAAGAAGAAAGCAAAACAATGAATGCAATGTGTGTCCCCATCACACCAACGCAGCTCGCAAATGCACCACAAAAGACACTGAAACTTGCTCAGACAACAGGTTCACTCATATGCAAGCCGTACAAAACATGTTTTAAAAAATGCTTCTTGAAGTAGTTCATGGAAAAAAGAATGAGGGAGAAATTTCACTTTCACCCCTCCTTTTCCTGGACAAAATTCCCAATAATGGGTGCTACCTCCTTCTATCTCTGACCCTTTGCTGAATGAGAGGCCAGAACTCATGTCCTGGGACATGGTGTTACCCAAGCTCACAAAGAGGGGCAACCTAGGTGTGCATCTGATTCTTGTTTTCGGCTCAGGTCACAATCTCACGGTTCATGAGTTTAAGCCCTGCAACGGGTTCTACACAAACAATTCAGAGCCCGCTTGGGGTTGTCTCCCTCTCTCTCTTTCCCTCTCTCTCTCCTTCTCTTTCTCAAAAATAAATAAATTAACATTAAAAAAAACACAAATGCTTACTTTGAAGAAAAAAGAGGGGCAGCCTGGTATGGGTAGGGAGCTGAACAGAGACAAAGGAAATAGTCGAAGACTCTTAAGAGAGTCATAATGCTTGAGTCCCAATACAGTGAGGATTTGGGGCATCAGGGCATCTCATGGAAAAACACGTTCTAAGATAAGGAGGGATTTTTCTAAGATCTCTCAAATCACGTCACCTATAAAACTGCCTATTCTATAAAACTCAAAGACAGGTTTCTGGATTTTCAGGGCTAGGAAGAGAAGCCGAGATAGGACAGAAAAAAAACAAGGGAATCCTCGCAAATGTTTTATATTCATTCAAAATTAGGAAAGTAAAATATGAACTCCTTCCTCTTCCAATGTAAAATTTTATCCCAAATGGTAGAAACAGTATCTTGGTGTTTAAGAAAGGCTAAGGAATGATATATAACACTTTTTTCACAAAAGTACTCCACAATCTTGTATTTTTAAAGCCCAGAGAGGGAAATAATTTAACAACCTGTCATACATAAACTAACTCATAGATCTGAAAACTGTCAACACTACAATAATGCCTTTGCCAGTAAATCAACCTCTTTTTTTCTCACCATGGCCGTTATTAAATCTGTGACAATGACTAAATTGAATGGGAGCCCCATAATAACCTAGAGCTAGTTTCTTAGAAATCATCAGTTGTCAAAACTTGACTTTTTGATTCCCATTCCTTTATGATAAGACCATTCCAGACAGTCAGACATTATAATACTTTAAATGAAAAGCTCCAGGCTCACTGAATTTTCATAATAGTTCATAGAGAGGAGGGAAAAAGAACCAATCAAAAGAACAATTTGTTATCAGGGAGGATTATCCGAGTGCAAAATGAGGAGAAAATGTGGAGTTGGCCTCTGGATTTAGTGATAACATAGTCTCTGACCCATGAGGAAACAGTCATCAAACTTTAATAATGGTAAAGAAAAGAACACAGAATTTTAGAGTAGATGCTTACTCAACCTGAAAAAGCCCCAGAATTTAGGGTCTTAAAAATGAGTTAGGGAAAGCCAGTCCAACTTAACATTAATCCATCATTTTCTTTATCAATAGAACTATTTGCAGAGATCAAAAGTATAAAGAAAGAAAGAAATATTAGGCCATATATTTTCAGTGTCAGGCCTATAGAAAATAGATTCTATTGGAATTCCAAAAAAAGGCAATGTGTTAGGCTGGAGAAATTATAGGGAAAAGTTTCACAGAGATTGGGAACTAAACTGGATCAAAGGCAATGACATAGAAATGAGTGTTGTGTGTTTGGAGATAATGAGTAAAGCTGTCCAGCTGGAGTGAAGAATTCCACAAAGAGTATTAAGAACAAGGGCCTTCTTGATGTGCGTGGTGTGACTGTGAAATAATTCAATTGATTTCCTTGTGTGACCTATGAAAATAAGACACATTAAGACATGGTCACACCGCATATTTCCAAACGAAGCTTTGCAGTGTCTGCTCACCACATCCTGAAGGACAGATTCCCAATAAAAGAATCTGACTAGTCTAGAAGACCACTTAAGAAGTATTTAATAGTGGTGAATGCTGTCGGGTAGACACCAGTAAGAAAAAGGGATGTGTTTCCTTTGTTGTGCTTCTGCAAAGGCAAATGGGAAGCATAGCTTATCCTTGGGTGTAATTTCTTCTCGCATCTAAATCACACATTCAATCACTCTCTGTACCCTCCATTACAATCGTCATGTATCTAAAAGTGATTACAGAATTTCCTCATAAAAGTTTCCTATCCAAGGATGGCAATATTAGAAATGTGTCTCCTGAAATAATCACATTTGAAACTTTTGCCAATATAATTTATCAATTACAGTTATGCCAGAGGGTTTTTTTTTTTTTTTTGCATTTATAATCAGATCCCCACTGATAAATCATTGTCCTAATAAATGGTAAAGTAGAAGGTCAAAACTGAGCCTGGGCATGGAATTGGTACTAAATCCCAAAACATCCTCTTATCACATCATGTGACAAGTACATGACACCCACATGACATCATTGGTGATGTTAACCTTGATATCTCCTTTCATGAGAAGACAAGGTCACTGAATAGAATTTAGGAAGGAAAAACTCAAACTACTTTTCAAAATTCTTCATCACGGGCTCACAAGGCTCCAAGTGTCCTGTCTCTTCTTCTCTTCCCAGAGAAGTCGCTGACAGTGTCTTAACTTAAAACCCTATCCTCCAAATTCCAAAGCGTTCCCAGTGCAGTAACATCATGCTGCTTTCACAGAGACACAAGACCTTGCTGGTCATTTGACACACTTCCTACCTATCTCAGTAATCACTTTTACACAGCTTCCATAAGTGGAAGGAGACCATAAACATGTCCACGCATAGGAAGCCCCCCACATCCCATGCAGCTGATTCTGTTTTTACAAAGCTCCACTTGAGAGAAAATTAAGGTGAGAGCTGTCTTCCTGGAATTTTAGTTCATTAATCCAAGCTGTGCCCTCTGAACTGTACAGAGGACACCTTTGTTGAGGCAACTTTCTGATGGGTTGAAATCGGCTCTCATAAACCAAAATTTTCTCTTTTCTACCCAATGCTTCAACTTCTATCCTCTCAGTCATGTGTGTTTTGGGGGAGGGGGTGTCTTCAGTGACCACCAATGTCTTGTCTCGGACTTTTTAAGAGCACCAGTGATTTCCTCATAGCTCACCCACCAGTGGCCTCTTCTTGATCCTCAGCCTCCTCCACCTCCACAGTATTTGGTATGGTTGACCTTCCCAAAGCTTCCATCTAAAATCCACCCCCATTCTCAGCTCCCTGACTTGTCCTTCCCTTTCCATTCAACTCTGCCAACCCTTTTCCTGGCTCCCACACCACAAAAATTGGTGCCACAAGCACTCTACTCTCAGCCTTTTTTTTTCCCCCAAATGTTATTGCGGTAAAACACATATATCATAAAATTCTTTATCTTAGCCATCTGTAAGTGCTCAGCTCAGTGGTACAACACACATTCACACTGTTGTACAACCAGAACCACCAACCATCTTTAGAACTGTTTTTCATCTTGCAAACTGAAATGCTATGTCCACTAAGCAGGAACTCCCCATCCTCCCCCCCCCCCAGCCCCTGGCAACCACCATTCTACTTTCTATCTCTATGATTTTGCCTTGGTATTCTTTTTCATAATGCCAGTCAGTGTCACAAAATACCCATGGACTCAGTATTTAAATAAATATTTGCTGAGAATTTATCATGTGCTAGACACCGTGGTAGATCCTGAAGTTATAATCAGTTCAATGACTACTTTATATTTTCAACCCTATTTTCTGACCCAGGTGATTGTCCAAACTCAATAGCCATTAGAAGCTCCTGTAAAGCCTTTTTTTTTTTTTGTACTAAACTTTTTACTTTGACATAATGTTGGACTTATAGACT